CTCAACTTGGTCTTAATGGTGTAAATAACTGGCTTCGCTGCAATTTACTAACACTGAATACTGACAAAACCAATTATATTCACTTTTCTATGCGCCAGCCTTGTCATGGGTTTACAAATCCTAACTTATATGCACACCAATGCCAATATCCTTCAGTCAATAAATGCGATTGCCCTTTAATACAGAACACATCCCATATAAAATAGCTTGGTATCTTAATTAACGACACATTATCTTTTAGACAGCATATTGCAAATCTAGTAGTCAGGATCCGTAAATTAATGTATATTTTTAAAAAATTACGTACCATTGCAGGTACAAAACTAATTAAACAGGTATATCAGGCCTTATGCCAATCAGTAATTCAATATTGTATAACTTCATGGGGTGGAGCTCTCAAAACTATTTTAATCCCTCTCGAGCGAGCTCAGAGAGCCATTTTAAAAGTAGCCAATTCACTTCAACTTTACAAATACTGTAATGTGTTAACTGTTCGCCAGCTTTTCATTATGCACACCATATTAAAACAACACACCATTTCACCTTTTTGCTCTGATATCACTAACAAAAGACGGAAAGATATAGTCTGCATCTCTACACATGATTCAAAATACATCTTTTCACATAGATTCTCTACTTTCCTAAGTCCTTTCTTATATAATAAGTTAAATAGAGTATTAGGTATTTATACATTAAACTATTTTAACTGTAGAACTGTAGTATTTAATTATTTGCACAGCCTGACATACGAGCAGACCGAAGAATTACTTCTTATTTGTAAATAAATGAACGTAACTCCATAATTTACATTTACCAACATTTATATAATGATTACTTTAAGTTCTGTTTTAATTAATTTGTTAATTTATTAATCATTCAATGTATTGTTTAGATCAGTGGTTCTCAAACTTTTTAAATGACGGAACCCTTTTGGGAAGCAAAATACTTGATGGAACCCTACAATAAAACAATTATTTTTATAAGTGTATTCTATATTAATCAGCATAATAAAAGTACAATGTATCCGTTACTAATTATTATTTACTTCACCACTTGGTAAGGACAATAATAGAAAACATTAAAAAAGAAAAAATCTAACTAGTGGGAGGTATGAAACTGTTTTTTATTTTTCATCAATTGCTTGATATCAGGTTTGATGGAAGAAAGTTGGAGTCTCATATCAGCTTCGGCGTCCAGTCTATTGCGATATTTTGTTTTCGTGGCTGCGTAGGTAGAGAATCCTGTTTCGCACAAATATGTAGTTGGGAACGGGAGAAGAATATCCAGAGCCATTTGGCCAAGCATTGCATATTCATCTTGGATTCTGCACCAAAAATCATTAAGAGGCGTCGTTTTGAACAATGACTCCATACTTGTGTCTGATGACATTTCTAAAAGAGATTCATATATCTCATTTGACATGTTTTCAGGCTTTTCCAAGTTGGGTAAAAAAGGATTATGAATCCAGGAGTTCACTTTAATTTTTGTATTGTGTTCTTCGGGAAAATACTTTTCAAAAGATGCGCGCATCGAACTGAGATATTGGACCAATTCTTCAAACACATTATCTTCAAACATTTCTGAGTCGTTTTCGCTAACAAACTCAGTGAGTAACGTAAAACTTTCTATTTCTTTCTTACCAATGCAAATGATCCAAAAATCTAATTTTCTTTTAAAAGTAGTTATTTTATTATAGGCCTGAAACACTGTTGTCTGTTTACCTTGCAATGATAAATTTAATTCGTTAAGTTTTTGAAAGATATCCGCCATAAAAGACAATCGGAACAACCAAGTTTTATCATACAAACGGTCCTTCAAATTAAAAGAAGTATCTGCTGAAAGAAACATTTGTAACTCGGCTCTAAGTTCAAATAGCCTTGTTAAAGTTTTTCCCCGAGACAGCCATCGCACTTCTGTATGGAGCAGCAGTGTTTTATGTTTGCTGCCATAATCTTCACACAATAATGAGAACAATCGGGATTGTAGTGGTCGTGATTTGATAAAATTAATTATTTTTACCGCTTCATCCATAACTAATTTTAGATTAGACGGCATTTGCTTCATCGCAAGTGCTTGTCTATGCAGAATACAATGACTGGAACTACAATTAGGCGCTTTATTTTTCATTCGTGACACTGCTCCTGCTGTTTTACCTGTCATCGCCTTGGCCCCATCTGTACAAATGTCAATGCAATTGTTCCAACTGAGATTATGTTCTTCAAAAAATATATTTATTTTATTAAAAATTTCTTCCCCGGTAGTGTTTGTAAGCAGCGATGAACACATAAGCATGTCTTCTTCAAAAGAACTTTTATATGGATATCTCACAATAACCAGCAGGATAGCCAAACCAGCGACATCAGTCGACTCGTCCATTTGCAAAGCGAATCGTGTATTTTGTAGACGTGTAACTAGTTCTTGTTTGACGTAGCTTGCCAGATCATGGATTCGTCGTGAAACAGTATCGTTTGATAGCGGAACAGTAGAAAGATGCTTTGCAGATTTTTCATCAAGCATACATTTTGTTATGTCTAATACACATGGTTTTATTAATTTCTCAGCGATAGTGTGCGCTTCACCTGCTTGTGCAATGCGATAGCTAACTAAGTATGATGCCTCCGTGGCCTTTTCGTTGGTAGTTTGTGTTACATGCATCATATTTTTTTGACTTTCTAATAACTGATCTTTTTTGCGAACAAAAAATTCTTTATTCTTGTCTTTAGTCTCGGGGTGTACGGTTTCTAAATGTCGACGCAATTTGGCAGGTGCCATGGAACTATTAGGAAGCAGTTTACTACAGAGCATGCAGAGAGGTGAGCCGTTGGAATCAACAAATCCGAAACTGATATAAGATTCATCATACTTCCTTTTTTTCGTCTTTGAAACCGTCGAGCTTGACGTCGTGGCACTCGTGGCATCATCTTCTGGATCGGTGATTGCTAAATTCTCCGCGCGCATTGCTTTTGAACATTCAGCGTCATTAGAAGATGTTGTTGGAACACGTTTAACACCTTTAAGCCAACGTTCCATTCTTCTTTATTTATAATGTTACAAGTCAGGATAGTGGGGTTTAAATAATGCACAATCGTTACTGCGTATAAGAGACTAAATTTAGAACCTACAGGGAAGAAATGTATAAAACTGAGACAACAGAATACAGCAGGCAGTAAAACAATGAACACCAGTTTCTCGCTAGCGAGCTTGTAAGTAGGTAGTAACTTATCGCTCCGAACGCTAATCATCAACTGACGACGCCAACGCGCGATCGCCGCTTTTATACTTAGTCCTAGACTCGATCTCAAATATTCTCGAAAATACTCGAGTCGGCACCTTTGATAAACAAAAAGCAAAAATAAAAACAGAAATTTAAAAATAGCGTTGTAAACAATATCGACTTTATCCTTTGAAGTTAGAGACGAAAGTCGCTAGTTGACAACTATAGCGTCTAATTCAGAGGCGGCTTTTATCAAAGAGACTGAGCGCTTACAAGTATACTACCCGCTCGTTTTAAGTTTGCCGCTGGCGATAGGTATGAGTGTATGACGTTCGAAATTTTTTATTTAATTGTAACAATAAAAATTGTGTACGTTAGATATTTGGGTAAAACTATGACACATTATAAGTTTTGTTGTCACGTGGGGGAGGGTACGCGCATTCCACAGACCGGCAAACTTAGAGCGAACGCGTTGTACAAGTATAAAATTGTTGAGACCAAACTTATGAGATATTGTACCAGCTAATGTAACACAAGCTTATACAAATACAAATAAATAAATAAATAACATTCATAGCGTTTTGTCTCCGCGCGGCCGCGGAGTCCGCACAGCCGCGGAGCGACCAGAGAGAGGTGTTTTGATTTTTTTATTTCTAAATTCTTGCGGAACCCCGACAGAGGTATCACGGAACCCTAGGGTTCCGCGGAACACACTTAGAGTATAGCTGGTTTAGATCATAAAAGCCTGAAATACAGGTACAATTTTAACTGTAACCTAGTTCAGGCATCCATTATTTTGTATTTTATATTGTTATTAGTATTATTATGCAATGTATGACCTTATTTGAATAAAGATATATTTATTATTATTATTGATTCATAAAACTAAAGTCCGCTTGTAATTTCGTCCGCGTTATAGTTAGTTTTTAGAGAATCCCACTGGAACCTTTTTCCCACGGGAACAAAGTATTCTGTATCTCAAGCCAGGTCATAAACTCTAAGAGACAATTTCATCCCAGTCTTTGCGAGGTTGAGTAACAAACATACAAATATATACAAACATCTAAGGACAATGGGCAAAACACACCCAGCGCCGCAAACAATGTAATTAGTATGAATAGATAGATCTATGAAAAACTAGCCATTTTTATTATGACACGGTAAAAAATATCCTGTTAGTCAAAAGATATGACACATGGGCATATTTAAGTAGCTAAATAAATTCATTTTATAGTACCTTCATTTTTTTAGTAACCATAATAATATGTCTTATCGTACCTACTATACAACAAGATATACGACAAAGCCTGCCGACCATCCTGCGCTTCCACTTACCGAGACACCTCAAAAACCCCAACCCATGAGGGGATTTTTGGATTTACTCTAGCGCGGCAGAATAATATAAGGAGGCACCCTTGCACCTTGTGAAGTACTCCCATAATACCTGAGCTGCCTTTGTAGGTTCCAACTAACTAAATTAATTCCCTTGTTTCGTTAATGTTCGTTCGTTACAGTACTTGAACCTATTTAACTTAACATAAGTAAAGACCCCCGGGATGGAATTTGATGCGCTTTGGCACAGATGATCAGGACTATAATACCTTTCAAATAAATGTGGTTTAAGCCGTGGCAGACGTGGGTGCAGCGTCCATACATTTTTGCCCAATGTCCTTTGTAATATTAATAGGAGAAAGAAAGAAGGATAATAACTCAGTTGGACGTTTTACCTCCCGGGCACCTAAATGATTAAATGCAACATATCTGAAGTCACTTAAGAATAACTTACGATACATTTCTTGCGGTGTATCCATCTTCGCGTTCTTCGTTTACCTGACCGGTTTTGGAACATTCCGCGTAAAAGCCGTTAAAGAAGAATTGAAGATCTGGCTGCTTTCGTCCTTTGTCTCCCAAACTCGAGTATAACAGCCCTGTTAACTGATAAAATGTATGATTTTGTTAAAGTTTTATTTCATTAGTTATTGTGGTATAGATTTTTTTATGTAGGTATAATTGTATATTCATTAGAAGAACTGGCAAGCTTTTTTTGGAGGGTGATTATTTAAGTAAAGTACTAATTTGTTATTGATTTCAATATTATGATAAAGTAATTTAAATTACAAGTTACTAATTTGTGAAAGCAATTTTCGCCTAGAGTAAAACCCGTCTTTCCCACTGGGAAGGGCCCCGCGATCCCCCTCAGATCAAATACGAAGTCCCAAGTTTATAGGGGCCCCATTATCCTAATATGCCCAGGGCCTCCAATAGGTCAAAGACGGCACTGCCTAGAGTAAATTAAAGGTATCTATTGTTCCTTTCATCGATTTTGCCATTTTCATTCAAGATTTTATTTAAATAACTTGGGAAATTTGCCATATACCTTGTTTTAACCAAATTTAATAACATTTATTGGAAAACTAACAAGTGTTTTGAACAAACCTGTGTGACTCCTGTACCAGACATGGGTCCCTCCATTTCTAACAAATAACTAGTTAAAATACTCCAATCCAGAACTTCTGTGTTATTCAGTTTTGTGAGTATGAAGTATAAAGTAATTCCGTAATGATTTCTTAAGTTTTTTCCAACGGGAAGATCTTCAACTAAAGGAATATTGAATTTTTTGAGAACATCCTTGGGACCAACACCTGATAGTAATAGAATATGCGGACTGTTTAGTGCACCTGCACTTAATATGATCTGAAAAGAATATCAATGAAAAATATTTTTAGGTATAATTATTGGACACACACTAAAGTGCGGGGTTGTATTTTGAGATTCCGAAGCTCTGTCAAAGGCCTAGGTTTGATAAAAAGTTGCAACGTAAAAGTTCTATAGCCACACAAACGTTAGGCTACATCACTCATTCTCTTTAAAATCTGTCTAACTAGTCTGACCATAAATACTGTTTCATAAATACTTTTCTTTTTTCAACTTTTTAATTATTTTGATTTTTTTAATTATTGTTAATGGTTATATTATACTTTTTAATTATTAAGAAATTTCTTTCGATTCTGCGCCATTTCACATATTTTTCGTGTTCATTATCAAATTACAATATGGATTTAACATCCTATGTGTTAAATATGATTGCATAAAATAGGATTGTAGTGATCGCCTTGTACAAAGTGGTAATAAGTACCTACATATTCCAGACACTTCAAAAGATTTGTATCAGCCGTATGTATGTTCGTATATGGTACTATCAGCTCGAGGTGGCCGCATGCTGTTTGAACTACAAAGACTGTTTATGCTGTTAAAGCCAGAATTCGTCGAAACCCCATTAGGAAGCAAAAAATCTTATCGCAAGAAATGGAGAATCTTGCTAGGACTCTGTCGTGTATTATAAGACAAGACCTGAAGCTCGGTGCTTATCGAAGATATATAGGGCATGCCCTAAATCAATCTTTACAATTAAAGAGAGGACCGATCAAAACGCCTTCTGTTGCGATAAGCAGGTGAAAAGCACAGAAATATCCTCTTTACTAATGAAAAAAAAAATCACGATTGAAGAACACTACAATAAGCAAAAAATGTACGCTCACAGTTCTAAAGAAGCTGCTGAAGTGGTCGTCGGAAAGGTACAACGTGGTCATCATCCTGCGTCAGTGATGGTTTGGTGGGGCGTGTCTTATCAAGGAGTCACAAAACTTTGTGAAAAGGGAGTGAAAACCTCAGCTAAAGTGTCAAGATATCAAGATACAGTCTTGGATCTGCGCCATCGAGGAGCTCGATGGCGCAAGTGGTTAGCGCGTTCGGCTGCGATCGTTGAAGTTAAACAACTTTCGCAGTGGTCGGTCATTGGATGGGTGACCAAAAATTTACTATCTCAAGTTCCTCCGTGCTTCGAAAGGCACGTTAAGCCGTTGGTCCCGGCTGCCTCTGCAGTCGTTAGCATCCGCCAATCCGCACTGGGCCCGCGTCGTGGGTCATGGCCTAATCTCCCTGTTCCATCCATAGGGAAGGCTTGTGCCCCAGCAGTGGGGACATTAATAGGCTGATAATGATGATGATGAGTCTTGGATCATGTTGTGAAACGTCTCAACAATACACTTTTTAAAATCATACCATGGATTTTCTATAAGGATTCTGCACCTGGTCACAAGACACGACCTACTCAAGCCTGGTTTGAAACCAATGTTCCGCACTTTATAAGAGCTGAAGACTGGTCCTCAGCTAGCCCAGACTTCAACTCTTTAGACTTCAAATTATGGTCAGTTTTAGAGGACATAGTCTGCTCTTCAGGACACGGCGATATTGAGTCCCTTAAAAATCTTTGGAGCAAGTAGTGGCGAAATTTCTCTTGGAAACAGTGCGTAAATGCATAGATTCGTGGTCAAACAGATTAATGGCCTATTATAAAAGCCAAAGGTGGCCATTTCGAATAAAACATTTGTTTATTTTTTGCTGAGACTTTAACAAATATGTAGGTATAAATTTTAATAATATTACATTACTTCATAAAAAAAGGAATTTTCATTTGTAACAGAACTTAAGGCTGGACATGTAGCTGTAGTCGTCTATCGCAGAAATCCAATACATGAAATTAAAGTTTCATGAAGTTAATTATAATCTTATTTTTTCAGTTAAGTTTAATCTTGATAGTTATTACAGATTAATGCCATATTTATAAATTATGAGTAAGTAAGTATTTTATTTTGTTATTTATATTCAGGAGGCACACACTGACGGCTTTTTTATGTTTTTTCTTTCGCGGGCCTGCTGGAAGAAATTTCAATATGAAATAAGCAGTGCCCTTGTACAAATTTCTCGTTCCTGTTCTACTTATCTGTTTTATTGTGTGTATACTAAATTAGTAAATAAATAAATAAACAAATTATTTTGATGAACTCAAAACAGATATGACCTTACCTCCTTACGAGCGTGCACAGTCTTCTTTTGTCCGCTTTCATCGATGTATTCTACAGCAATAGCACGTTTTCTCTTAAATAAAACCTTTGTCACTTGAGAGTTTAGTTTCACACTTAGATTGATTCTCTCTGATTTGGGTTTCAGGAACGCCCTAGCTGTTGTGTATCTTTGTCCGTCCCTAAGAGTAAATAAAAATAATTTATAATTTATTCATTTATTCACCCATCACAATTTACACAAAATATATTAACAACGATTTGCAGTAGCTTACATCCCAAATTGTGAGGGACTAGTTCCTGAAATAGGTTTCAGAAGAGAACATCAGATCCCACCCACAGACAATGCAGAAAGAAGCGTAAGTTATAATAAAACTATTATAATTACAATATTTATTTATTGTTTCAATTCCCGACGTACAGAGACGCAAATGACTTTTAACTAACTGGTAGTTTCTCATGCAGGACTAACGTAAACTAATTTTGAAGATCTTATAACCGGAATTCTAACGTTTTCTCTTCCGCTATCGTTTTTCTCTCTCTCACACTTTTCTTCAGATTTGAAAAGGACGGCAAAAAGAGTGTTGCTTAGTTAGACATCTAGCTCCCTGTTCTCGCTTTTATTAACACCTTCATTTATACTGAAATACCTAACGGTTTTAAGGGGGAACTTTCGCATTAAATATCCGAAACTTTTTAAAACATCGGTAAATTGCACCCACCCTTGCTAAGCCGGGCAGATACCCTACCATAGTCTTTAATATATGAATTATATGCAAATAAATATAGTTAACTTAATCTGTAAAAGCTTCTGTACACGCAACTTACTCTGTAAAAGCTTGGGCGATGGTAAATCCATCAGGAGTATTGGGGTCGTTCATGTCTGCAATTATTGGCAGGCCAGTCTCATTGATAGCGTCCAGGAGCACGTATGCGGCGCGAGGTTGATATCTGAACTGCAAGAAAATTGTTATAAATTTTATACATAGCTCGCAACTTATTTTTTTAACTAACCAGCGGCCGCCCACAACTTCGTACGAAGTTTTTTGAGAATCCCACGGGAACCTAACGTTTTTCCGGGATAAAAAGTGTCCTATGTCTTAATCCAGATCATAAACTATATTCGTACCAAAGTTCATGTGTCATTCTTGTCATTCTTTCAGTGGTTTTTGCGGAATTGAGTGCTACTCAATTTATAATAAATATTAGTAGGATCGGTAACTAAACTATTAGTTTAGCTCGATGGCGCATTCGGTAGATGATCATCTGATGAGGAACCGAAGAGTTCATTATTTCTAGTTTTGATAGCTGCAGTTAACAGCATACGTCCATAGGAAATAGTTTTAGATTTGTTATTTATAGCTATTATTGTATTATTCAATTGATTCACTTTTTCAATCTCATAATCATAACACATAACGATAACATTATGATTGGGTTTTCGTAATTTCGTAATTCTGAAAATTAATGCAATTCGAAGCTTTCTTGAAGGATCTATCCTTCAAGTTAATTTCTTCTATTTTTTTGTAAAATCTTAGCTTGTTTCTGCTATAAGCACATTTTATTTTTAAACACTTACACCAATAAGCCTAGTCCCAAAATAAGCACGGTAGGCTTATGTTATGGGATACTGGTAACGGATAGAATACAAATAGTGATTCATATATTAGTACATTTATATAGAAATACATATTAAACATCCATGAGTGGAGTACAAATGCTCGTATTCATCACACAAATATCTGCCCCCACCGGGATTCGAACCCGAGTCATCTCGAGTAGGCGACACCTTGAAGCCCCTTTACATACCCACGGAGGTTTTCAATTTTATTATAATTTGGAAATTTGCCACCTAAATCGTGTACAACCTGAACGGTTATGCACTATTTCTGCATTTTGTTGAGCTCCGTGATTTACTCATAGCGGAAACAATAGTTTCATTTCTATAAGAACAAACCTGCTGAACGGGCAAAGGCCCAGTGCTAGAGTGATACTTTTCGCTGACGAGCGAGCCTATTTCCCTGTTGCCTTCAGTCATGTCGAAGTACGGCCGGTTCTCGTCCCAGGACCAGCCGTCCGCGCCGGCTTGCACCCAATCATCGTAGTCCGCGGGGTGGCCTCGGTGGTACATCATTCCGTTGAGAAGACTGGACCCGCCTGTATCATTCCATCAGCAAATACATAATCGCATTATTTCTTATTTTTTATAACCAGGTAGGCAAATGACTCTACCCCACCCCACCTGATGTTAAGTAGTGATAGAGTCCAAACGTGAAGATTGCCGGCCTGCAAAAATGCTTCTATTTTTGTTAGTCGATTAAGTTCAATTAGAAACACTTATAAAAGTCGAAAAACTACGCCATTAAGACGGAGTGTCGGCCAGCTGATATGATATAAGCCGGTCGACGCTCACTGCTGGACATAGGATTCCCTCAAGGATCTCCATTTCGACCGCTCCTTCGGTCGGCTATACATCGGCTTCCCACAACCATCACCAGATCGTCGGTCTAACTTGTGGGGGGCCTATCCACCATAGAGTAATTTGTCAGTTCGCAAATCTACAGCGACAATGGGACACTTTGGACTGATAAGAACCGGTAAAAACGCGATGACTGGTAGATTGAAGTAACGGTGGCGCTCCTGGCTGCTGCTTCAATGGCCCTAGTTAGTTAGATCTTCGAATCCCAGTTGTTCCAGGAGCATCGATTGTGTGAGTTAACAAAAGTGTTTATTTTAGACTCATACATGGTTGTTTATATACTTACATAAAAAAGCAGCCTATAATGTATTAACCAGATAAATTTAACTTACCAAGTACTTTTCCTCTGGGCCACATACATCCCTTGCCCTCTTGATCCAGGCAATAGTTTGCAGGCACTGTGCGGTACTGCCAGTCCAACTCCTCGTTCCACCAAAATGTGCGGTAGAACGACGGCGGGCGTGCCCCGATGGGTTCTTGGCTACCGGCTTCGATGAGCAATACCTGTAATGAAGCTAATTCAGATACTAGGTAACACCATATCCATCATTACAAAAATAAAGAAAATTACTTTGATGGAATTGTAATTAAATTACAACATACTATATTCTTAGATTAAAACAAAAGACTATATTCATGTTTTCTTATTAACAGCTCTGTACTCTCTTCTCATAAATTTTTCATTAACTCTTTCAGAATATTTTTAGGCTATAGAAATGAGAACGAATGCAAGAAACTTATCAGCATTCAACGGATGTAATGATATTTCATTTTATTAAGTTGTACAATGTTAAGGCATTTCAGCTTCGATCAACAATTATATAGATAACGGGTTGCATACAAAATCAAAGCTGAAAACTGTCCGCCTATGTTAAAACTTATTCAGCTACATTCGATTCCCAATGAACAAAGATAAATGTTTTAAAACAGTTTAAGTTGAACCTAATAACAACTATCTCTAAATTATATCTGATCTAATCTATCTTTCCAAGTAGGTAACTTGGAAAAAAAGATAAAGGTGAAAAAGGAAAATGTGAAATCAAACTTATTACTCACAATATAAAATATTTTTACCAATCATCGTCCATAGAATTACTTTGTTTTGTATCAACTGAACTAATTTAAAATAAGATGTCACACCTCAGGTGAGGCTATATTTACCGAGACGGAGTTTACGCGCTGATCTGTTATCTATAGAATTGTTGATCGAAGCATTTCAGGCTAAGAGAAGCATGGCATAGCAGATTTTCGCCTTGAATTGCCCGTCTGAAAAAGGTTACTCGTAGCAGTATTAGGTAGTTTTATTAATATGGCCATTTGTTTATCCTAAAAATAATTAGCATGCGTGGGTGACATATTTTTTATTTTGTAAATTATTTATTTAGGTAGGTAAGCAGGTTAAGCTATAAAGTTTATAAGTTTGTTTATTTTAATGTATAGATATCGATCTTATTTCATTTGCATGCTCACCTTATATTTATCCACCTCGCTAAGTCTTCCTGCTACAATGGATCCAGCAGAACCCGCGCCAACAACTATGAAATCATAGTCCGATTCAACATCAGCAACAGACTCTATCCTCTGGCAGGGCGTGGCGATCTGGCAGCGACCTTTCAAGAACGCTTCAAGGAGGACCATGAAGTAAATGGCGCCACTGCATATCGGCGAATTGACTAGGGAAACACCTTCGTCCACGAGAGGACATTGGCAATCCTGCAAAACGATATTTGCTGTCAAGGCAGTTTGTATATTTGTGAATACTTACCTACTATTCTTATTTTACTTGCTACTGTCTTAAGTTCTCACGATGCAAACTTATTGGAGTCTGTGAAGTAAGCCCAAGTCGCAGCGCAAGAAATTAATATATGTAGGTGTGTAATGCGCGGGTCCAAAATAGCACACTAGCTATAAAAGTAGCAATATAACAGCCGTTTAATGGTAACTGGTGACGGCTTCAAGCTGTATAAAGAAGCTCTACAGTAGTATAAGCGGCTAGAGAGCTTTTGTAGCTTCAAATTGGGCACAAATTATACTGGTTATAACTGTAGAAGTGCTCTAAAGAGGCCGTGGAGACGTTTGAATGTGGCGATATAAAGCTCTTTAAGAGTGAAGGAATATACTTCCTTACTTTTAAGAAGCTATTATAAAGCCACTGTACATGTTTTGCCTCTATTAATATAACTTTGCACCTTTTTAATATATGTTTACCATCGCAAATGAATCTACAATTGGTTTAGAATAAAACTTTTATGTGAAAGAGTGACGAATCAAAAATTACAAGATAATACACAGTATTGTTACTGTGTTTTCATATTATTATAATAAAACTCGTACATACGAGTATTGTTACAAACGCTCTCGAAACGGAAACGCGAAATTGCTAGAGATCGAATTTGCCAGAGCACCGCGGGTCGCGATAGAGGTCGAGTAATGCGGCTCATTCTAAAATGCCTTATGCAGTGTGGCGTAAGGGAGAAAGTGCAACGACATCTGCACTTGTTTATAAGTTATGCGCGTTACCTGCGTAGGTATAAGTAGGTACTTTGTACTCGCGGGTGCTAGCTAATTCTCAATTTAACAGGTACTTTCTAGAATGCGTCGATCGGCGTATATAAGTGCGATTGGAAGTTTCAACAGCGATTTCGTAGCGAATCCAAAGGCGATCAAAGTGCAACAAAAGTGTATAAGTGCGATAGTTTAGAGACTTGTATAGTGAAATACAGTGTTTAGTGAGTGTTTTGTAATTAACAACTAAATTGTGTGAACTGTGTGGTGAATAAAGAACTGTCAAGCGTGAACTGGCATATAATTTCGAACCCCATCCCGACACGTAACAATATATTCACAGTAATCTGGCGAAGTAGAAATGAAATATTAGTGCGTGTGCCAGATTACAGTGAATATTTGTATAAGTTTTATTGAAATTCTTCGCCAACGCACACACAAAATATTAAATTTACACTATAATAATTAAATATACAATAATTAAATTACATTGATTGTTTAGGGAATATTACTATTATATTTTTATATGATAAAAAATTGTAACCTGAAACTTAAAAAAATCATGATAAATCTGTGTTGTATATCAAAATTAACATGTTCACAAGTGACACTTTACAAGAGTGTTTTTAGAAGTTTGTGTAAATTACGTTTATCAAAAAAATTACAATGTTTGTAAAATTTTATGCTTTTAAATTGTCCTGGTAATTATGTTCTAACGTCAAAAAGTATTCAGTATTTCCCTCTCCATGATGAATTACTCCAGTTCCCTGCCGATGTAGAGTAATGCCTTCTGCCTTTTGTAAGATAAGTTTAGTTAAAAGTGCGTTATTTCTGTTGTTTGTTTCTTTCTAGTGTCTTACCAAAATGTTAATTAAATTGAAATGTGAACTCCATATAACCTATAATAAAAATCCTTCAAAAACTAGTATTAGCTTGTTTGTTCAACTTCCGAATTAGCTATAATATTTAACTACCGACGACACATCCGAACTGTTTTTTTACCCGACTGCGCAATGCAAGAGCGCGAAGCGCGACGTGCAGACAGGGTATAGTGTCCTTTGTGGCACACTAGAGACCAAACGCGTGGACCGATTTTGATGATTTATATATCAATCGATTTGTCTTAATCATGGGAGTGCTACTAAAGATATGATAATAATCAAAAATCAATATGGAGACAACTGGGCGCCATATTGTGAGAAAGAAAAAAAAAATAAGTTGAAGAAATATATCGAGTGGGGTACCATTGTCTAGATAATCCAAAATCATGTTTAGGTTCCTTACACCATTTTTCATTTTATATGATTGTTTAGGATCTACAACGATTTAAAGTTGTATAGTAACCACTTGCGCTTTTAATTTCAATTTTACGTTTGTATGGATCTTTGTAACTCTTTCACCCAAAAAATACTAAATGGATTTTAATCAAACTAACCAATAATAAAGCTCATACATAATAATAGCATATAGATTATATTTTTTGTTGCTATTTGGTGAATTGGCCAAAATATAACAATAAGTGTCACGTGAGACTCATTTCGGCCTGCACTGCAAAAACAATAAAAGTTACATGAATATAATGTATGGTGGAATTGTATCTCTTATATAGTTCTACAAAAAAGTCCAGAACAGCATATATCTATTTTTAGTGTGTAAGCCATTATAGCTAAAACAGTGAATCAAAAAAAATATATTTGAAATAAATTTCCTAAATGCACATTTTGTATAAACAAATTATTTTTTATCAAAACAAGTACTTTTATCGCTTTTGATATTTAAAGACGATAAACTTTGCCTTCATCATAATTTATCGATTTAGCTATCAGGGCGCGGAATCGTAACAAACAAACTCACTTTCGCATCTTTAATATTATATTATACTAGTGATCCGCTCCGACATTGCATGGGCGAAATTTATTTAACGGGATAGAATATAGCCTATGTCACTCGAATATAATTTAGTTATAAAGAAAAAAAATACTAAAAAAATCCTCTCGGAGAATTTGTTAGACTTTTTCAGGTAAAAGTTTCTTTAGTTTTATAAATCGAGCAGATTAATCAACTTATTGAGATTAATGCTTAAAAATATATTAAATAATGTAGCTATAATGCGATTCAACTAAGAACAGGATCGACTGGGCGCCATATTTTGACGTCATAGCTGTCAATTCAAACCAAATAGGTAGAGTGAGCAAAAAAGTGTTGCTATTTAATGAAACTTAATTACTAAGATTAAGTGAGACAAAACATCAGATTTTTTAACAAAATTAAATTACTAAGGTCGAGAAAGAACAAAATCGATTTTTAATAGTATTTCTTTATTAAGACTGTGTGAAAAAAAAAAACATTAATAAGAATCTAGCTCTTAAATTTCGCTCAACTCTCAACTCAACATGCAGGTCACATACGAACATGCATCCTATATGTAAACGAAAGCTTTAAATCGAGTTTTTGAACGCAACATAAAGTGACATTTGGTTGACGATTTAGGTTATCAACCATTCATAGCCAAAGTTAAATAAATGAAAAAAAAAACAACTAACATTAATTATCAACATTTGTTATTGTTTGTTTAAATATGTTTGGTTTTTATTCTAGAATCAGCTGAGTGCTAAAAAAGTGTTCCGAGATTTTTTTGCAAATCGTACTTTTCAGGCGACATCTGACAGATGGAGGTCATTGGCTTTCCTATTCTTATTTGAATCGCATTATAGCTACCTTATGGTGAATGAATTTTCGAAATCGGATCAGGTTTGAGAGATATTTGTTACACACATACCACTCTTGCCTCTTTATTACCTACCTACTTAGTATAGATAGTTAGGATAATAATATTGAACCTCTGGCACCTACATATTTGGTTCTGTGAATTATGAAAGTATAATAATATATAAAAAAATATTCTATATCCTTTCCAATATTTCACGTACTTAAAAAAATTATATCTCTGGGTGCGTTATTAAAGAGTTCAAGAGCCATATTAAATTATGTAGGTTTCTACTTAATTCAATCAAATATTTACAATACAAATCGCACGTTTAAGCACGGCTAACTGCATTAAAAACAATTCATACCGTTCGGTCGTCGCTGCGGCGCATTCGCGACTGGGTGCCCGCCGAGATTCCCCCGAACTCGAGTGGCGTAGGTATGATTCGCTTTCCGACCGTTTGTATGAAGATAGAATACTGTATTTAATATTACCGTGCTAATGGGTTCCGACTGTTAAAGTAGCTTTGTTCCTTACTTAACAGAATTATAGACTACTGGACTTGTTTTTTTCTTTTCAGTTTTTATTTGAAGTAATTTTAAGCAGTCGGGTTTTTTGATTTATTTCAGTCAGATTCAGTCGGCCATATTTCTTTCGCTCCATTTGACACTTCCGGTTTTAATTAATACAATGATCTACTTTTAAATTTATGTAAATATAATTTGATTAATAATTGAGACAAGTAGAATTGAACCAAATAAACCTTTATTTTGTCTCAATAGCCAGAGACTTACTTTCGTGTTTCTTAGGATAGTAAGGACTAAGGATCTCTGTTATATTCAAAGTAGGTACCTACAATCCTCAACTAAGGATTTTAGTTGTTTGTCTCTGCTTCAAAAGCAAAAAATTAAAAAGTACCTTACCTTTATAATAAAATGTAGTAAAAAATGCATTCTTACCCCAGGTGACAGAATCATTTTGATATGTACAATTCACTGTGGAGTCTGCGAATCCTAAAAAAGATAATTTCATAGTTAGAACTTAATTAGTTAGTGCATAGCATTTTTCTTCTTCGTTTTGCACTTCTATCATTAGATTACTAGACTAGCTTCAACGGGTTAATAATGTTTATTTATTAACGTTTCGCAGCCTTTTCAGGTCTGCATCGACAAAATAATGATTTTTTATTTACTTTGTCGAGCTACCTTCGAAAGACTTTTATTGAGCGTTCGGATATTTCATTGGAAGATTTTTAAATCTTTATTGGTGTCGATTCTTACAAGATTCTCTAAACTTAAAACTAAATTTAACATCAGCCTCTCCTTTTCATTCTGTAAAGAGAATGCCAAGGATACACTGTTGTCAAATTTAGGTTTAGCTTTAGAGAATCATGCTAGAATCGACACCAATGTCTATGTATGATGTATTTATTAGTTAATTTAGTTAACAAAATACTTTATTTAAAATTCTTTTTTGTAATTTTGAGTTTATTTATTTGACCCTAACTACCGTAAACTACCACCGGTTCCAAAATTGGGAGACTTCTGAGAAGAACCGGAGAAACAAACACAGAGAGGCTTTCTATCTCCTTCTTATGTTAAATCATGCAAACAAAAAGAACTAATACACACATCAAAAGTGTCTAGGGATCAAGCATTTTTATGCGGATTTCTTGAGATTGAGATGTGGCTTTGTAATAAATTTATGATTTTATAAATTTATATGGATCCTTTTTGGTGCATTTCATAATTTGAATCAGGAACTGTGAATCAAATTCGAGTAAAAGATGAAAATCAGCTGTCAATATTTTCCCTATAAAAACATACAACGCATTGAAGACATTATTAGTGCTACTGTTTCCCTACTACTGATTAAAACCAACGTTATTATGGAGCGGCGACGTCATTTAAGCAGGGAAGAAATACTCAGAGCCGTGGGAATGATAGAAGCTGGTTCCCGGCAACGTACTGTGGCTTTAGCTCTGAATACAAGTCAGAGTGTTATCAGTCGACTTTGGACACGATACCGAAGCACTGGTACCGTGGCTGAGCGCCATGGAGGACGGTATCGCTGCACCACACGGAGACAAGACCGATACATTCAAATCTTAACTCGAAGAGCTCCAACAATAACCGCCATGATGTTAGCCGTGAGGCTTCATCACTCTTCAGGGAACTTAATTAGCGACCAAACAGTCAGAAACCGCTTGCATGAAGTGAACCTTCATTCCCGAAGACCGCTACGGGTACCACCTATAGCAATGCACAATCGTAGGATTCGATATCAATGGGCTCTTGAACACAGAAATTGGGCAGAAGAACAATGGCGTTTCGTGTGCTTTTCTGATGAGTCTCGTTTTGGTATGAGACCGGATACAAGACGTATACGACACTGGAGAACCCCTGGACGCCAACAGCGATTAAAATCCAGCCAGGAAGTCCATCCTTATAGTGGTGGAACCATCATGGTATGGGCGGGTATTTGGATCGGCGGAAGAACTGAGTTGATTTGGATCAGAGGCAACCTCAACGCTCAAATTTATGCTGAGACGATTGTATCAGACGTCATCGTTCCTCTACAAGTGCAAATCGGTCCCTTATTTCAGTAAATGCATGATAATGCACGACCGCACACCGCAAGAGTTGTAAGACAGACTCTCGCCGCAGCTAACATCAATGTCCTGCCCTGGCCTGCTCAGTCGCCAGACTTGAACCCGATTGAGCATGCATGGGATATGCTACAGAGAAGAGCTCTGCCGAATATGGAGGGTATCCAGTCGCAAGAAGACCTTTTTTTGTTGTTGCAACGAACATGGGCGGCCATTCCACAGCGTGATTTGGATGAACTCATTTTGAGTATGCCAAACCGATGTTCTTGTGTTGTTAGTGTTCGCGGTAGAAATACGGATTATTAATTGTTTAAGTTACCCAATAAAATTTTAGAGAAAACTGTTATTTCAGTCTTTTTTTCGAACTTTTGTGTTAGTGGTTCAAATGTCAAAAATCCCTTTATTAGGAAAATGGCAAATTTCTTTATTAATGCAAAGGTGACTTGGTTTATCGTTACTGTGACAAACGAAAACACTTTATTTGATGAATCCTTAAAGAAAATTTTAATTAATATCAATCAGGAGAAAAGTTATTGCAAAAATATATGTTGATCCCTAGACACTTTTGATGTGTGTAGTATCTGTTGGTCTTGCAGGGTGTGCTCGGGGTTGGAATTTTATCTCTTGTATAATGGGTTCCCAAGCTGGTGGTATATACCAACCATCTTCCCTATTAAAATGTGGATATTTTTTAAACTCAATAGCCTCGTGTATCATTCTAGGAATGCATCGTTGCTCAGTTGCAAGGATCTGTGGTTTATCAAATCTAATATAATGGTTTGGTCCACCTAATGCATGTTCACACACTGCAGCGCAATAAATAAATAAAGTTCGTGCATTAATCCGTTGAAGCTAGTTTTATTTAATGAGTGATGTGCGTGAAAATCTAAGAAACAAATATTCTATCATTAGGGTTCGAATATCTGTAGGTTCCTAATTTTTGTAGCACATGTTGTAAATGTCCTATCAAAATTAATTCATACCACTAGCGCTCGCTTTATCTTTATTATAATGTCATCTGTAAATTTGCCGTGCCTTTACAAGTCTCTTGTTGGGGACCTAAACATAATTATTTGTAACACCTGCATACAACAAGATGCAATGAATGAATAGGAATATCTCTAAATCAGGAGACGTACTCTAGAAATCGATAATAATAATAAAGATGATGAATAACTTTTTTTCGTCATGGTAGATAATCAAAAAATACGCGACACGTATTTTTTCTTGTTTCATAAAATCAAAAAAATAATTACAGACATAGTATATCGATTTGAAATGTCACATGACGTCATGTCTTGATAGATTTTTTATTAAGAAGTCACGTCACAAGGACCCATTCCCAATCTTTAGCGCGCTCTATCTTTATATTTTTATTTTTTAAGGATTAAACTGCTTTTAAATGTATAGAAAATTTTACTAGAGGAAAGCGCTTCATCCATGTCATTTTTTGCTTGATTGATAAAAGAAAAAATAAATAGGTACCCATTATTCTTTGATAATTGTAGTGACGGACCAAAAGAATTTCGTTAACTTTACCCCGTCGTCATCCCTATTCATCATACCCTCATCGCCAACTTCGTACACCTTATTAAAACTATAAAAAATAAATATTTCCTTTCCTGAGTAGAATATGGCAGGACGAAGTTTAACATCGAATGTTGATTCAAGAGCGCCCTCAAGATAAAATAGAGCAGTTTATCCTACGTCCTACAATGGTGATTGGTTAAGTAAATTTTATTTTTCGCTGGAAATTGGTTTCCACAGTTAGTTCTTTAGTGCTCATTGCCATTGGCGTTGGCCTCTTGAATTTATCATAATGAATGATCAATGATTTATTCATTAGGGATGGTTGACTGGTGTCTTCTTTTCGATTTGAATGATATACATCATTATCATCATCATCTGCCTATTAATATGCCCACTGCTGGAGCTCAGGCCTTCACTATGGATGGAATAGGGAGATTGGGCCATGACCCGCCACGCGGGCCCAGTGCGGATTGGTGGGTGCTAATGACTGCAGATGCAGCCGGGACCAACGGCTTAACGTGTCTTCCGAAGCATGCTCGAGCAGCGAGCAGCTCGAGAAAGTAAATTTTTTGGTTACCCATCTAATGACCGACCACTGGGAAAGTTGCTTAACTTCAACGATCGCAGCAGAACGCGCTAATCACTTGCGCAATCGAGCTCCTGTTATTGCTATGTTACCGAAATCGAGTTTGACAGTTTATAACTGAACTCGATTAACAATATATAATATTAAAATTCAACAAATAGATAATGTAAAATGCAACAGAACAGTTGGTCTATGAGTGACTGAAATGTATTTATTAGTAAACAAAGTTTGGCTATTCATTGGTTAACTCAAATAGTTTTTTAATTAAGTACATAGGTATTTTTTTTTCGCAAAAATCCTATCTTTTTTCAGTAACATTGAAAATTGTCTAATTATCTGCGTTTTCATAAAATATAAGGATATATGCGAAAATTCGATTTATTACATCATAAATTACGACAATATAATCGTCATTGTTGTTGTTGTTGTTGTTTTGTGAGGCTATGAGGCAATTTGCAAAAGCCGAGGCACTCATACAAAACACAACGCTGGAAATAATTATTGTGTTAATTCGGGCAGAGATGTTTTATACTTATATGAAAACGAAAAAAGGCTTTTGTTTATCGAGTACAACTAAATATACATAAAGCTACTAAGATGATAGGTAAATTAATTATTATGTGAACCTACCGGGCAGGTGCTTAGGGTGGCAATATCTGCAGCACTATCACGTTTGCTAGGAAGCACCAGCTTATATCTTTTCTTTGGTATTAATTGTTTATATATGTATCTTTTGTTATCCTCCTTATCATCCGAACTGTATAATCAGTTTTCATGCACGTATTAGAATATTCAATTGTGATTTTAAACATTGTATAAGTACACTTACATGTAAAATGAATAATAGTACGACTTTTTCTAAAAAAACTATGAACTTCTTAGAACACTCGCCGAGGTACAGACGATAGAACGCGCTTAGTGACGCCACGTCACGGCGTAATTGAAGAGGCTCAAGGTGTTTAGTCACCTCCTCATCGCCTATGATGCGGATCGCGCGCCGCTGTAACCTATCCAAAGCATCGAGCAAGTAATTGGCGGAGTCATCCCAGAGGTGCGAGCAATATTCTACGCAGGACCGCACTAGCGTTTTGTACAACAAGCACAGTTGATAGGTCGTGAAAAAATGCCGTACCTTGTTCAGGACTCCGAGTTTGCGTGAAGCTGTTTTGATCACGGTTTCGATGTTGTCTTTTGGATTCAGGTCTGAGCGAACTTCCATACCGAGCATGATAATATTGCTCTGTAGCGCCAGTGTTGTGCCCTGAAGAGAGGGAAGGGGAAGGAATGGCGATGTTTTTGGGGACACTACCAAGGAGACGAGCAACCAGCGGCGGCGGACTTGCTTACGCCCCTCGCACAGCATCGCACGGGCCTAACCGTATTCATAATTTAAGAAGTCGCCGTTTTAACCTTTTAACGCAACCACGCAAGCTTGAGAAAAAATGGCAATTTAGAAGACTGTACGCCGGTTGGAATTTGGACTCGTCGAAGTTTCGAGGCGAAAGAACTACGTTTCCCGGAAAAAGGAGACGGTTTGGGTATTTGTGAGTCCGTTCCAATTATTCCTTATTTACATTCCTTATTATTCCTTTCTAATTGCTATTAAATTCCAAATAGTCCAATTTAGTGAGTGCATCATATTTCTTCTTTCGTTTCTTACATTCATAAAATAATAATAAATATTCGATTCAATATAAACTATAACGTAGCTAGCTAATAAACATTTTCAAATCATATAAGTATTAAAACTATAGACGCGCAGCGCCAGCGCATCGGCCGGCAGCCGCACACCTGTTCTTTTGTTCCTTATAGTCTCGATTCTTGCTATTTTTTATCGATTTTAAGTAGTAATCTTAATTATAATCAAAATCATTTATTCAGTTTAGGCTGTTACAAGCACTCATGAATGTCTAGAAGCTTCGCCATTGGTTCGTAAATCTACGGCGGGAGACCTTGTACTGAGAAGAACCGGCAAGAAACTCAGCAAGGGCTGTCTTTTTCTCACTGTTTTATAATTTACAGATTCGTCAAATTGAAAAATGACTTCAGAGATGATTCATGAAGTCACCTTTTATTACATAATGATTAAATTTAAATTAATTGTTTACCTGTATTTTGATTGCTGTGTCATACAGTATAAATACAAATAGTGTTATTTATATTAAGTGTGACTAAACATTAACTTCAATATTAAGGAAGTTAGGGCAGACTCATATCCGCTGGCAGCACCCGTTCACGAGCATGACGCATGAACCAGCCATCGCTTCGCTCAACCATATTTTAGGGAACGTAACGACCCGCCTCACACGACACCGCCGAAATTACTATTAACAGAGCATGTCTTCCCATAACTACCCATACCAACTACAACATACTTACTTAAATTAAGGTCATTTACCTGTAGGACACCGCAAACAATTACAAAAACAAAGCAATGGGGAAATCACGACCATGCCGTTTTGTCAATCAAATATTCTTAAACAGTCTTATCAGACTGATCCACCTTAAGTTATCAACTTTATATACAGCTTTCAAATTGAATTATAGTATTATCAACATAATTCATAATATATATCATATAGAAATACCCGTTGGAATGGTTGGAACAGTTCATACTCAAGCATTTTTGTATGTAATATAATCAGACACTTTATAATAAGCTTTCTTAACAAGTGATTTTTAATGGTCAATTTAAATTAAGTCATGCTTAACTCTTGAATATTGCTTGGGAATTTATTGTAAAAGCGAACACAAACTCAACACGAATCTCTAAACGAATTATTGATTTTGTGGAGCCTAGTAGCAAGTAAAGTTAAATTATTTTTACTTCTAGTATTATGTGTATGTATTTCTATTTTTAGTAAATAAATTATATTTTTTTTACAAACACTAAGTTGTCATATATGTATTGTGATGCAACCGTCAATATGCCTATTTCTTTAAACTTATCTCTTAATGAATCCCTAACTTCAAGATTATAAATTGATCGAATAGCCCTCTTCTGCAGCACAAATATAGTTTGAATGTCAGCGGCATTTCCCCACAGTAAAATACCGTATGACTACACTATGAAAATAACTAAAGTAGACTAATCTGGCAGTCTCTATATCCGTTAACTGCCGTATTTTCATTACAGCATATGCTGCAGAACTAAGTCTCTTCGACAATCCATCAATATGTGGGCACCACTGCAGCTTAGAATCTAGTGTGATTCCTAAGAACACTGTGGTCACAGAGCTCATATGTCGATCCTTTATATTTACATTGGTTTTTAACCTTTTTGGCATTAGGTAATACACATTTCAAACACTTAGTTTTCCCTTCATTTAGCATCAAATTATTAACATTGAACCAGTATTTGTTTTGCACATTTTATCTTTAGATTTTCTTATATTAAACATCAGTATATGGCCGATACAAAGGAACGAGAAAAACTTATAAAAAAGCGTAGCAGCCTAAAATCAAAATTAACCATTTTTAAAAATTACATCGCTTTGCTTAACCGATCTTCTGACCTAAGCCGAGATCAATATTTAGATCTGGAAAGTCGCTTTAACAAGTTTGAAGCAATCTACCCTCTTTTTGACGATTTACAGGTGGAGATTAAGATGCTTTCGGAGAATCCCGCCGATGCACTCCAAGAACGTGAACAATTTGAAGAGCAATTCCACACGCTGGTTGCGGCGGCTCACGTCACAACCAGCGCGACCTTCCGGGTAGTTCCGTCTCGAGTTGTATCAGGATGTACAGGCGAGTGCACCTAAATTCAATTGTGTTCGGTTGCCTAAAATTTACTTGCCCGTTTTCCGTGGTCACTATCAGCATTGGCTTAGGTTTAGAGACACTTTTGATTCGTTAATCCATTCAAGACAGGATATGGATGACAAATAAGTTGCATTATCTTCACGCGTCTCTTAAAGGCAGCGCTCTGGTAGTTATTGATAATTTAGATTTTAAGGCCGATAATTACGAAGCTGCTTGGAAATTGTTATGCAGCAAATACGATAATAAAAGGCTACTTGTTAACAATCATGTTCAAGCTTTATTTAATGTTGAACGGATGCAAAAAGAAACGTTTATATTGATACGTAATCTTATAGATGTTACCAATAAAAACTTACGTGCATTAGCTTTTTTAGAAAAACCTACTGAATATTGGAACAAATTAGTTATACATATGATGTCGGTAAAAATAGATTGTGTTACAAAAATAGTCTGGGAAGAACACCGAAATACATTAAGGGATCCTCCTTCATTAAATATATTTATTAAATTTCTAAGTAACAGACCAGACTTATTGGAGACTATACAAGAAAAAGGCAAAACACAAAGTGTTCTTATAGACACACCCAATAATAATAAAAAAAGCAGAAGCAAGCAAAACAAAATATTTACAATAATAAAAATTCACGATATAAACGTAATACTTACAATTCCAAGTTTTTCAAATGTATACTTTGCCAAGAAAGTCATTATTTATTTAATAGCGAAAAATTCAGCTCACTTTCTATTAAAGATTGAATTCAAAAAGCCAAAGAAACAAAAGTATGTCTTAATTGTCTTCGACCTGGACATATTGAAACTAAATGTAGTCTTGTCCCTTGTAGGTACTGTAAAGAGAGACGTAATACACTTTTGCATATTCATGAACCAGAACCTACTTCTGTGCCTTCAATGCCAGTCAATAGCATCAACCACCTCTCAAATCATTCCAATCTTTCTAGACAGTTTACTACTCCTTAGAATGTGTTACCGTCCATAGCGGTCGTGAGGGTGCTCGACGGCCAGGGTGTCGCGCACTTCACGCGCCTTTTGCTCGACAACGGGTGCACCGCGAACATAGTGACGCAATCGTTGTAAGCTGGGTGTGTCGCGTCGCGATGGCTACTCGACGGTGACAGGTATTAATCAACATACTTCTAAATGTACACAGTCTTGCAGTCTTCCCATAATGTCTATTCATGACGACTTTAAACTAACTGTAGATTGTCTTATACTGCCTGAGATTACAAAATGTCGTACCGTCTTCCTTTATCAACATTTAGAATTTCCCTTCTTACATTGTAGTGTCGACAATGCTGGACCAGTGCTGATAGCTGAGGAGCTCGATGGCGCAAGTGGTTAGCACGTTCGGCTGCGATCGTTGAACTTAATTAACTGTAAGAAAATTATACATCCTAAACTTAATACTAAAAGTACAGATATTCTTAAAATATGATCCAAATTTACTCAAAAAAAGAGGAAAAAAATATGCTGTTATACCTATAAAACAAACAAAGTTTCGCTAGAAGAGAATATTGTAGACAAAAGGCTATTCTGTAAAATATGGTAAATAAAGAACTTAATATTTATCCAATGACTCGTTATGACTGGAAGAAGATACTCATCGAATGGCTCGAAACTCTTAACTACATGGAAATGGAAGGTCTACTCCAAAGTGTAACAACAATATTATTTAGTATTATTCAAGGAAAATTTATAAAATGGTGAATCATTATATATTATTATTCGTTTACCTTTATCTTTTACTCAATTTCTACTACAGATAGCTCCACTTTACGCCTCTATGGCATCGCAACATTTACACAATAACATAAACTAGCAAACCAGTGAACCAAATGTTCACCAAAACCTGATTTCTCGAAAACCGGAAGTGCTACGTTACTCAAATCCGGTTTTTAGTCTTATCAGACTATTCTTAACTTATAACTTAAATATTCTCTTTGTCTA